ATAACTTTAAAATGCAAACATGTATTTATTTAAAATTGAAATTGTTTTAAATTTTTGATCCGTAAACGAGAACACAATAGCATTACCTTTTCTAATAATATAACAATTTTATAAATATGTAACATATATTTTGTTTAAGATATTCGTTAACTATATATAAATTAGTCCTCATTTTGGATATTAATTGCATTGAGAATAAGACCCATCGGAGTATTCTTTGTGCCCATTTTATCACTGATTTTATTCTTAATATTCCTTAATCTCATCGACGCGTGGATTAGGATTAGAGAAATTGATATCAAAAGACTAGTAAGAAGTATAGAAATGGACGCAAAATTATGCAAAACTAAATAACTGGATGTAATGATGACCGCGAAGTACAGGTATGTTTGGTATGTGTTCGGAGGGATTCTCGGCCTTTCGCTCATACATCCGGACGCGTACACCATTGCCAACACAGACATCGCTATCACAGCCAATGATAATAACATCTTCTGTGGACTTATTATACTTTAAGAAAAATAAATAAAAAGTTTTTTAATAATTTTGCAATGTTTTTAATTTTAAATTTCAATATCAATATCAATATGCATTTACGTGCACTAAAAAGTTTTATGCAAACACTTTATTTTAAGTATAATATGCACATAATTTTGAAATTTATTATCGTTTCTTAATAAAAGTCATAAATTTTTAGCAAATCATGCAAACGAGTCGTTATGAGTTTAATGTGAATAAAACAATTCAATAGAAATATATAATTGTGAAAGATTTCTTGAAAAGTAAATGTCATTAATATGTGAATAATTACCCGAATATAATAAAGACGACGAGAATAACGAGAAAATAGTTGGTCTGATAGTAGTGTAGGTTTGAGACAATTCTTGAGCCAAAGCGGGGTTTTTCAAAACGAGCCGACGATAGGAAGAAATCGTCGATTGAACGCAAAGGAGATATTCTGTATTCACAAGACATTATCGATTCTTATACTTATTTCTGACTTCAGATTTTGATTAAATTAGGAATAAATATATAATGAAATAAATGAATTCAAACAATAAAACGGCAATTTATATAACAGACTCGAGTCTACACAACACAATAATGTCGATGTATTTCGTTGTGTGACTTGATTTGAGTTGTAGTTTGTATTTCAAATTGAAGATAATTGTCATGAATAACAATCAGTAAAATTGATTTACTGATAAGAGTTCTCGTTTGATAAGACATGTTAATGACATGAGAGCCAAACATATAATACAGACATATCTCAATTGTTTAGCAATTAGGCATCCGTTAAGTTATGTTGATGGAGACAACTCCCTATTAATAGACATTTGGGTTAAATAAAATATTTATTTTAACGGCAGTCATAGGAAATACTTTTCATAACAATTACATGTCTGGAAGGATAGGATTTTGTGGGCGTTTTTAGTATCAAATTTAAAATAGAAATTTTTTATTACGTGAAAACTATTATATAACACAAACACACAGAAAAACCTGTTTTAATTCATTTCACTCCCGGCATGTCATCGCATAATACTAATAGTCCTTTCGCTCTCGGTTTTCTCAATACTGATCATGTATTGTATGTTATGATTGTCTAATGATAACTTCTCTCTCGCTTGACATACATTTTTTAGCAACATTTCAATAGCCATTACAGAAATTTATGAAACATTTATTCAGTCAGTTTTAGTGCACTTGCACTAAATCACTGTTAAAGTACTCATTTTGTCTCTTAATTAATGCAAATTGTATTGTAATTAAGAGATGATTCACTTCATCCCAAACCCTTCACTGGTTTCTCAGAATTCTTATATAAATAGTTTTGTAAAATATGTTTTAGTCTGCAATCCATAGTTTAGTAGTGATCGTCAATTAAATTACATGACTATTCATTTTGTTTCAATTGAAACATTGACTGTGAAGTACATATACGGCATTGAATTTATTGTTTGCTAAATAGTCAATAGATTTATTTTAATTTAAGTTTTATTAGTCGATAGATTTAAATAAATGATAGAATATTAATAACCATTTGACGGTATATTTTTAGTATATTTTTCAAAACGATGTTTAATTTGATTAATTGTACTGACATTGGACTCAGTTTTTGTTCAAAAGCATTATATTTTTGACAAATGTAAGTAAACGGATATTTATTTGATTGATTTTAATTTGTATAATTAAATGTGGGTTTAAATATAATGCATGTTATTATACAGTATATAAAATGTGTCGTTTATAAAAATACAATTTTAATTCTTATATTTAAATAATAAATGATTAATTAAGATGAAAATAATCCAAAATATAACTGTCAAAAACATTACTGAATACAGTATTGCGAAACTGACAGTTCATTAATTATATCATAAAATCATTAACATTAAGATCTAACAGATAATGGTTGATAATGTTGTTATTGAGATGCTTTTGCAACAAATGTTATCAAGAATTTCTTTTTTTACATTAATTAAGAGATCAAAATCATGAACTTATAGTAAATTCTGTGAATTTTAATGATTTCAATGCCAAAGAATACACAGAATAGAGAGTATACTAGCATACAGTGTACGGAATATAGCGTATATGTAAAGTAAAATATACTATGATATCATATATTGCAGCCTAAAGTATACAGATTATATGACATTTGAATTGGTATTCTTTGTGTTGCCATTGACTACAATGTAATTTTAGCTCAAGAATCGGCGCAATCGTGTATTTCCTTTGCAATGATCACAAAATTGATGTAAAAAATCTGTCATTTCTCAGATGTTTCCGACGGTTGGGATTGTCTCTATATTTGAGACACATCTCATTAAAAGCATATAATTTATAATTGGATTCACAAAAATACAAAACAAATTAAAATGTTTATGAATATTCTGTTCTAGTGGCCAAAACAACCAAGCTAATCTATTGTTTATGACAAGAATCGTTGTGTAATCAAAACAAAACGGCGTGAAAATGCATCGGAATGTTGAATACAAAGGTTTGAACAAATAATAAGTTACAAATTAATAACTTTCTTCGCGTCTGTATTTATAGACAACTGTAATATAATTTATAAATATATTAATGCGATATTCCTATTGAAAAGTGAACTAAACATAATTTAGGAGTACTTTTCTATCTATGCTGTGATATCCCATCACTCATAAGAGTTTTAAACTGTTATTTAAAAATCCAATTGTTATTGTTTTTGTCTGAATTGAATTAGCGGTTAAGACTAACCACGAAAAATCGGTGATAATGTCTGTGATAAATGACTTACGGTTACTGTTGTGGAAGAATTATATGTTACAAATAAGACATCCGGTGGTGACGATCGCCGAGCTGTTGATCCCGTGTCTGTTTGTGGCAATGTTGGCCTCCGTCCGACTCAAAGTCGACTTCACACCACATCCTAA